ATAGATGCTCAACCAATGCAAGTTAGTTTTCAGAGACAGGAGTGTTTAGCCACGCATGTTGTTTAGATGACTCTGATCCTCATCCACATGTATATCGTAGTAATATATAGTTGGTAAGTGCATAGTTGTCAGATGAATTAGCTCTGTCAATGCCTAGTGATCGCGTAGATGGAATCAGATGGTAGCATATGAGACATAAGGATTTATACTGGTTCAGACCGTGGTACGCGCAAAACCCTAGTCCATTGGTGATGCTACTCTTCTTGTATTCGTATGCTCATACAGGGGCTGTTACTTCTAACTACTTAGTAGATTGGAATGAGATGAGTTGGATCCCGATCGCGAGGTCCCTACCCTTTTTTATATAGGCATATGTGGTTGGATTCCTAGTTTGTTACATGGAATGCGCAACAGATAGATCCTAACTACCGTCCAGATACGCCTATCTTGGATGTTCTTGGCTTGCCTTGGTCTCATCGTTGATCGACCACCTCGACCCTCGTGGGCCTCCTCCTTGATGGCCCCTGGGCTGATAGCTTGGATATAGCTTAGCCCTTCTTATCCTCCTTCTCCTTCTCCTTCTCCTTCTCCTCCTCCTTCTTCTCCTTCTCCTTCTCCTCCCCCTCCTTCTCCTTCTTCTCCTCCTCCTCCTCCACGATGGTTGGTGAATGCTTTGGTGAGTTAAAGTGTGCTTAATATATGGCCTATATATGTCCATCCTGCCTCCATGCTGACATGTTGGAATATGTAAATTTCCATGTGAAATGTTGTATGCCATAATATTTCTTGTAGGAAATTGCATGCATATAGTCCTAAATGATTATGTAATGGGAATGGGATGCATCCGGAGCGCCCCATTGGTGCATGCATGCATCCGGAGGCATATAGTCAATGGAGCATGCATCCATAACTAACTCAGCCTCCCTAGTCAGTGCATGCATCTGGAGCACCCATCAAGCAAAGACAGGGAGGCACTGAAGAGTCCGCTAGAGCTACTGGATCGTCCGACAGATTGCAGGACAGTGAAGGTAAGTGGAAAATGAGCTGTTTTCCATTTGCATTGCTTGGACCCACTTGTCAGCACGAGTTGGAACCCTTCATCGGCTGAAGCCACTCCACTTGACCCCCACTCTCTCTCACTCACTCATTCATTTGCTTCACACCCCTCTCTCTCTCTACACTCAAGAACAAGGATGAACCCAAGAACTAGAGAGAGAAAGGATTGGAGAAGGAATAGGAGAAGAAGAAGAGAAGCACCTGCATCATCTCATGGACTTCTTCAACATCTTCAACTTCATCTATGGTTAGCTCAAGAGAAGTATCTCTCATTTTTTAGATTTTTTCTCCAAAGACCTAATTTGTGGTTTTTGGTGCAAGATTGAAGATTTCTTGCTGGTGGTGGTTCTATCATATGTAGAGTAAGTTCAAGAGATCTTCACCTAGCTCAATCACCCATGCATCCCTTGGATTTCTTTTAATTCTTCTTCTTGGACCCTAACTGAACCAAACCTGAACTAAGTAACAAATGGTTGGGATTCGTTTAATGCTTAGTTGCTTAGCTTCGATAGAAGTCAAGTTTGAGAAGGGAACTCATTCTCGCGCATGTAGGATTGTTACACCGGGTTAATCAAGTACTAAAATTTTGTAAGGGTGACAACTTACCTTCTCTAATCATGATTATGGACCAATCCTAACTTGAATTATAATCTTGATGATCAATCAAAAATCTCTACTCATGCGAGGGGTAAGGTCACGGTGGGTGTTGGATCCTAGGTGACGTAGCTCGCAGAGTAATTAAGGACTGTTCATTGGGATAGTGAGTCCGAGTAGCCACCAGTACAGACCACATGTCACAAATGGGGCGACAAGGCAAGTAACTAAATGCGACTTGCCTATCCGTGAAACTGGCACGAGGGCGGCGTTGGGTAGATGATGGTAGCATTACCCGGGAACTTATCAACGCCTTTGTGGATATTCTGGCTGGATTAGGGAAAGGTTAGAGATGTGAGGCAACCCTTACCCTTGCGCATGGTTATGGTGGTTAGTCTTGTTCTTCTGTGTGGGTACAGTTGTACACCTCTACAGAGTTCACTTGAAAGCCTGAAGTCCCTCGGGACGAAACCTTCGGTAGTTCTTACTTCTAGACCCATTGTAGAGAGAATGTGGAATTAATGATGAGTTGGATTATATTGTGATCACTTAAACTTTATGGATTTATTATTACCATACATGGAGTTACCATGACTAGATAAATTAAATCCAATTCATGAGCATGTCATTCTTTAATAAACTCCATCGCTTTTCTGCAAATGTACAAATACCTGATAAATCCCTGCATCCACCAAATATTCTATGTTGGAATTTAGTCCTGCGAGTATGCAATGTATTCACGGTGTTGCCGTTAAGTTGTTTTGCTAGTATCTTCGATTCGGTTGACCTGAGCCAAGCTCACTCCGCCAATGATTAGTAGACCTTGGAATGGGCGATTCCAAGATGAGCTGTATGTTAACCCTGATAATTACTTCGAGTGAGATTAAAATGGAGATGAACCATACAGGGTTAATTAAGAAACATTTCTGTACCATTATCCCGTTGTTATTTGTTATCAAGTAAAGTTGAGTAGTTAACTCAAATTCCCTAGTGTGATGGCATAATATTCGTGTTACATGTTGGTATGCCATTTGGATGGTTTTGTGGCACTCGACCATTAAAAAGATCTTGAAGAGGAGATGCAGATGACATTCTCCTGAGGGGCCTCGTGTCGGTTGGGATTGGCGCGGGTTGGTCAAGGGGGTGACACCTATGTTAGTCTGACAGGTGCGGGATCACCTCCCTCACAGCTAGCATCTCTTGCACATGTTCTACTACGACTATGGTTGCCAGAAGCATACCTTTCATACTCAGTTGAGATTTGCTACTCTTTGGTTATTTCGGTGACGGCCCTATTCACTTTGCTGTAGCTGATAGAACTTTGTTTGGGATCCTTCCCCAAGCATGGACACTAAGTCCCAAGGGTGCCAAGCACCAGCCAAGGCCGACCACTACTTCCTTTTATAGCCCCAAGAGCTAAACTAGTCGTTTGGCAAAAACTGCTCATTCTACGTGTAGCGTCGGACCATTTCGTTAGGGTCCAATGGTCTTAGATCACGCCACGTGTACTAGCCGTTTGAAGGCGGCCGTTGGTGTCCAATGGCTAAATCGCAAGCGCCCTCTATGCGTATGGTCCGACATCCGTCAGATCATCCACGCGTATGGTCCAACGTCCAACAGAGAGCATCTACAGAGCTCCAGACCAGTCGGACCAGGTCCTAGCATAGCTTCAGACCATTACACGTAGGGTCTGACCATTACGCGTATGAACGGGTCATACACGTAGTGTCAGACCATTACGCGTAGGGTCTGACGCTCCTCTGTCTATGCATGACGTCGGACCGACCTACGCTTAGCGTCGGACCATCTACGCGTGGGGTTAGACGCCAACAGAAAACACCTCCTTGCTTCTTTTTTTGAACCCTTTGCAAATATGCCAACACCACCAAGTGTAACACCACCTTATGCACATGAGTTAGCTTTTCACAAATATTTTTCAAAGGATTTTCACTTGGTCTTTCCATGCCACTCGATCCTAGCATTGCATGCAAAGTTATATTTACTTGGTCTTTCCATCCAGATATGATATTATTACTGAAAAGAATTCAAATATGATATTCAAATATATGTCCATATCCAGATATGATATTATTACTGAAAAGAATTCAAATATATGTCCTACAACCTTTGACTAGATGACCAATATGCAAACAAGTTTACCCCTCTTGATCGTATGACCATCTATCTTAAACCCGGTCATGCACATCTCTACACAACCTTTGACTAGTGAAATAAAATGTCCTACAAGATATTTGCCATGCGCATTGCATTTCCTCCAATGTTGATGCCACACAAGCACTAACCTCCATAAACAAATGATATGATCCAATTCGTATCATCAAGTGACCTTCGGTTCATCGATCTCAACATCATTTGCTCTTCATTGTTGCCCTTCCATCGGCGCCAAGTCCTTACTCAAGCTTCTCCGCCACGTGCAGTGCGTCGCTCCAAAGCCTTTGACTAGCCCTTCACACTTGCAACAGGTCCATCTGGCCAAGCCTTGTCTTGATCTTCTTCACCTAGCCACATGACTCTATGTCATGTATCACATGCAATATGCTCCTTCATCACATGTGTGAGCATTTCAACATATCCAAGCCATTTCTACCTCTATGGCATAGGTTGCTCACACTAGTGTATCTGTGGACTAATCACCCGTGTATCTCGACATAAACACATATTAGTTTACCTAGGTTGCGACTCAATTACTAAAACCAAACAAGGAACTTTCAGCACCTCAATTTGTTTCGGGGGCGGCGAGCGCAGGGAGGCCACACACCCGGCAACAGCAACGTCGCGCGGGGCCGGATCTGGCTACAGTGTGCCCAGATCTCTGGTGGGCATGCTGGCGATCTTTTTTTATTTTTCTGAAATCATTTACGTAGACGGACAAAAATGCCCGCCTTAGTTAACCCCATTTATGCTGACAGGCTGTTTTGCCACCTGACAATTTGAATGAGGCGGACATATGCCTGCCTGGGAAAACCTATTTTCACTGCCTGGGAAAAGAATTGTGTATACAGTAGTGTTGCTCAGCATGATAGCCAGATGCAATAGTACTTTCTCATACCCTATCAGGAACCTCCAGCTACTACAACCTGTCCAACACAAGAAACTGCATATTTTCAAATCGTGCGCCATAAACAAATTAAAATTAATCACCTTCACGCAGTCGTGCATTTCTCATTTCATTTTTTTTTAAAAACATGACAGCTCGATCGGACCGACCTCCTATAAATGCCACCTGATCACTCATCAGGTTCATCGTCACAGCCAGCCAGCTTCCGCTTCTCACCTCACGCGCTAGCTGCACACCCAAGCCAAGCATCACACCGCCGGCAGCGGCAGGCATGGAGAAGAAGCGGGTGGTCATCGTCGGAGCAGGCGTCAGCGGCCTCACGGTGTGCAAGCACCTCCTGGAGCTCGGCTGCCAGCCGACCGTCTTCGAGGCCGACACCATGCTCGGCGGCGTGTGGGCGCGCGCCCTGGCCAGCACCAAGCTCCAGACGCCGCGGTCCATGTACCGGTACTCCGACTTCCCGTGGCCGGAGAGCATGACGGAGGAGTTCCCGAGCCACCGCCAGGTGGTGGTGTACCTCGACGCGTACGCGCGCCACTTCGGCGTGCTCGGCTGCGTCCGCTTCGGCCACCGGGTGGTCGGCAAGGAGTACCACGGCGTCGGCGAGCAGGCCATGGCCGCTTGGGTGGAGTGGGCTGGGAATGGCCAGGCGTTCGGCTCCGGCGCCGGCGAGTGGCGGCTGTCGGTGGCCGACGCCGACGGCCACGTGGAGGTGAGCTAGCATGCATTCGTGTTGTGCCCGAGATACAAATATATGTCCATATCCAGATATGATATTATTACTGAAAAGAATTCAAATATGATATTCAAATATATGTCCATATCCAGATATGATATTATTACTGAAAAGAATTCAAATATATGTCCATATCCATATTTGGAAAATTATTTTTTCATGTATGTGTGACACCAATATCCGTATCGAATGGTTGTTGCGTGAGCATATCTATATCCGTTCAGCTATGGACATGGACATGGATATAAGTAAATATATATGGACTAGATATATGCCCGTGTGTTGCATTAGAGTCACAATTTTTTAAATTGAATCTTAGTAATCTGACATGGACGCATGAGCTCTGAGGGCTTCGTATCGGACATGGACACGTGGATCTAGTATTCGTATTATAACCGGGTAGGACATGGACGTGTGAGCTCTGAGTACAGTTTGATACGTATCGGACTCCGACACGTGAAGGTGATCAAGGTTTGGTATCACCGGATAGATGATGACATTAGAGTCTTTTTAGGTGTAAAGATAGAGATATGGACATATATATATATACATGCACATATCTGGATTTATATATGTACGTAACCCAACAAAATTCATATCTTCTCAGCATAACTCAACAGTTGTGGACAGTTTTGATACCAAAACTAAAGTTCAGTCCTAAACCATCTAAATGGGTGGACTATTTTTTAGTCCCCAACTAACAACAACTAGTTCACTAACATGGGTGGATTCAGCGGTGGGGCGGGCGGGGCTCAAGCTCTCCCACCCAAGGGGGCCACCTTTGCCCTCCTTCTGCTTCCGTGACAATGGAGTATCGCCTTTAGTCTCTCCTAATTTATATATAGACAGAAAATAGAAAGATTGAGCTCTAGAGCTTCAAGATGAACTTTAGCCGCCTCTTTTATGAATTTCTGGGTCCACCACAAATCACTAGTAGTAGCTACTAGTCCATGTATACAAATATGACTAAACTTTAGAGAAGTTAGACTAATACCTAGTTCTAGGTGATCCAAACAGGACCTCGCAATTGCGTGAACTCAGCTTGGCTGATAAAATCTAGTCTAGTGCTTTATTTGACTCAATACAACCCATGCTGTAGTTTGTGGCGACCCAAACAGACCATAATATAAATATGCACATAGGAATTAAAAAAAATAACTTGAGCCTACAAACAAACAACAACAGAGTATGCATGTTTACATATAGAGTACCGTTGTATAATCCAGAAATTGGTTTTTACCTTTATGCAGACACACAAAGTAAAGGTCCAGAAGTATTTGATGGGCGGGTGATCCACTCCATGGATTATGCCAAAATGGGCACAAGTAAAGCTAAGGACATGATCAGGGGCAAGCGTGTGACTGTCGTTGGCTACATGAAATCTGCACTTGATATTGCCACTGAATGTGCCGAAGTAAATGGTACGGCGTAGATATATAGTCCTCTTCATCACTCCCTCTGGAAGTCTAATATTATCTATTGGACAATCTAAATTGATATTTGTATATATCTTATAGCATTTTGAACAGTGTTAGAACTAAAACTTCAGAGTTACAGTATTTAAAAATGTTCTGTACACATCCACTTAACGTTGGTTTGTGCTACAGGCACTGCTCACCCATGTACAATGGTGTTCCGGACAAAGCACTGGATCGTACCGGACTACTCCGTTTGGGGCATCAATGGCAAAAACTTCACTCTCAACCGTTTCTCTGAACTCCTCATCCACAAGCCTGGCGAGGGCCTCCTGTCGATCTTGGCCACTCTCCTGACTCCCTTGGTAACTATATAAACTAGTGTCTAACACATTCACTTATTGGTAGTACCCCTTCGTCCCCAAAAGAAAGCAATTCTGGAACAATATCATATTTTAGTATACAAAGTTTGGCTAATTAAAGATAAAAACGTACAAATATTTATAATATCAAATAAATATCATTACATTAATTACGAAATGTATTTTCATAATAAATTGATTTGGAGTCATAAATGTGAATAATATTTACTAAAAACTTGGTTAAACGTGAAACACTTTAACTGTCACGCATATCATAGTTGCGTTCTTTTAGGGACAGAGGTAGTACTTCTGTAATCGTTAATTAACAACTGATAAACTGTTACGATCCTTCACTACTGACTAGCAATTATGCAAGAGTAACTGGTACAAATTGGGAAGGATTAGAGAGAGTTGGACTAGGTACAGCAAGGAACCAGGGGTAGAGATAGCAAGAACAGCAAGGAAGCTGAGTCCCAGACGGAGGTAGACAACGACTTCGTATTATCTTCCCTCCCTGTGCAGTTTGCTTGAGCAGGCCCAAAGTCCACCCCACATGTCAGCCGCTCGACCCAATAGCCCATGTCGATGGCCCACTTATGTGACAGTAGAGTACCTTACCTGACATAAACATATATCTATACTCTATACCTAATAATAAAGAGGCAAAATTTCAACCACTAATAAATTTTCGTCCAACTCTGATCTCTATTCGGACTCTATTTTTTTATGTCTGGTCGTTTCTTTCCTCGTTTGTTTTCGAAGTCGTGTTCAGTATGGAAGAAGAAAAAGAAGGGATTGAGGGAGGAATGTGAAAGAACTAATAAATTTCCGTTCAACTCTGATATATATTCAGATTCTATTTTTTATGTCTGGTCGTTTCTTTCCTCGTTTCTTTTCGAAGTCGTGTTCAGTACGGAAGAAGAAGAAGAAGAAGAAGGGGTTGAGGGAGGAATGTGAAAGAAATAACGTGGTTCCAGATTCAAAGATACTAGAGACAAAGAAATAATAGAACGGCTTAAGCGATTTTAGAAACAAATTTAAGGTTCCTGATGCAAAAAATCCTTTTATTTTTTCTTTTATTTGCTTGGGCCTACTGTGGTGGGCCTCGGATTCGGCCTCAGGCTGCGCTGCGGGCTAGGGCGAAGACCATGGCTCAGCCGCACATAAGCCCTTTTCCTTTCTTTTCTGTTGCCTTTTCTTTTAAACCAGTTTAGAATTCTAAAAATCATAAAAAATCACGGAAAAATCACAAAAATACCGGCCTCACGGTAGGCCTTTTCCTTTCTTTTCTGTTTTCTTTTCATTTGAACCATTTGAGAATTTTAAAAATCATATAAAAATTACAAAAATACGAAACCAGTTTTGTTACACTCCCTTTGACTAGGGCTACACAGTAAACATATAATATAATATTCTTTAGTATAAAGATTTCGATGTATCTATAGATCTATTCTTTTATGTAATCAATTTGCTGAAATTTTTATCTATATCTATATCTACTCTCATCGTCTCCAATTATTTATGTGTTCTAGATCTACCTATACCTGACATATTATTAATTAAAGAGCCAAAATTTTAGCCCCTTTTTTGGTTCACTTCCCCTAACTACCGATAGTGTAGTTTCTTTCGTCCAGACTTATATAACATGTGCTCATGCGAATTAGATGAGCTCACATCTATCGCGATACGGAGTCCGATTCCAAGATGTACTGGGTTGTGTATATGATCCGGACTCATAAGCTGTGCTTATACAAGTTAGAACAACTCACGTTTAAAGATGATTAAGTTGAGTCACTACTAGAAACTCGGGTTTTTCTGTCTGCGCGAAAACACACATGAAAATACGAATCTTGTCAGAAAAATATTTTTCTGACGGTGTACCCTTAGAAAAATACCCACAGAAATACGATGACAGAAAAATTCAATTGTTCTGTGTGTTTGCCGTCAGAAACAATTTTTCTGTGGGTGTTACACGCACAGAAAAAATGCGTTAGCCTAGATTAATTTTAAATATTGTGTGCGTTAATCCTCATAGAAAAAAGGAAAAGCCCGACAGAAAAATGATTTTTCTGTGGGTGTTACACGCATAGAAAAATTGTGTTAGGTAGATTAAATTTAAATGTTGTGTCGGTCTCGGTTAATGCATAGAAAAATAAAAGAACCACCGACAGAAAAAACCCTTAACCATGCAGCAAATATGGACTGTCCATACTGTAATTTCATCACAGCATAATAGATAGCATACATATAAAGATCCAAATGTTCAGGACATTCATTAATGGCATCCGGGCTACATATAGATGATGTCTAAATGGTCCGGCATCAATACATTCAAAAGCATTACCATCTCATCTCAACAGTTTAGGTCTCAGTCAAGATGAGTAAAGTACAAGCATGCATCATTGAGTCATATTATAGCTAAAACTAAAACTAAAACTAAAGCTAAAACTAAAGCTAACACAACCATCACATTATCGATGCATGATCGCCATTGTTGTCGGAACCTTGATTGTTGTCAAGGTTTGCAGCATGAAGATCCCCATTGGTGTGGCTGCAACATTGAACCAAAGATAAGCAATCAATAGTCAGGATAAGTTAAATGGCCTGCTTGTGATAATACTTACAGCATGAGCACCCATTGGTGGAAATCCAGCTGACTTAGGATGGATCCAACAAGCGGACCATTGGATCTGTAGCGCTGGACAACCAGGAGCAATAAAATTCCAACAAGTCAAATGAACAAAGGAAGCATCGACTACATTTAACTGTCACGTTATCCATCCATAAATACTAAGGGAAGTCAAAGAAACACATCATTTGGCATCAGAATAACCAAAAAGAAGATAAAGAAGAAAAATAGTAAACCTACACAAGTAGCAGTTACATGATTGAACTATTTGATTTATATCAGTTGTGCACATAAAAATTAAATTCTACCATACAATCTAATTGAATTGATACCAAAAAGCACCATAGAATTTCTGTTCACAAATTGCATTCCTGATATTTTAAGGAAGTCAATATGTGTTATTAAACATATCAAAATTAAACCATAAAATCACATCTGCTCATTTTGCCTATTGATCATCAATACACAATCACATCTGGATGCACCGCCCAATGCACTATACATTTTGCTTTTGAAAGGAAAGTTACTGTACCTGAAATTTCCAAGGTCAGCAGCTGTGTTATCTCCTTGAACAGCTCCTCATTGAAGGAGGCGAACACCTTCAGATCCTTCACGAGAATCTCCACAGCCTTGGCCCTATTATGCCTGTGACACCAACAGCAAATTCAGCAAAAAAAAACAACCTTGACAACAACAAGGGACCAAGAGTAGCGAGTGATGAGTCGGTCACCTATCAAGGGCTTCGAGGTACTTCTGCTTGCGGATCTCAAAGAAGATCTTCATGGAGTAGCGGTTGTCCTCCAGCTTGGTGAAGCCGCTGAGGTACCTCTCCAACTCATCCCACTCGCCGCCACCCTGCACGAGGTCCTCAAGTGCTTCAAGTTGAAGTAGAAGCCCGACTCCTGCTCTAGCCTGCATAGGCAACCACAAAAGCATCAGAAATCCTAGCTCACCCAAAGAAAGCAAGGCTCCAAAACCCCATTCATGATCATGATCCCAGCCGGAGCCTCCAGCTCTCAAAAACCCGCCTAAACCTCGGGCCGCCACCCATGCAGTCATTGAAGGTTGCTACACATGTATAGGTGGCGACATTCAAGAAAGAGGAGCCAAACCTGATCCAATCTGAACTAAGATAATAGAAAAGAAACTATTGGTCATTCCAGATCCATTAGAGAGCAGTATGTCAAAAGCACAAGAACTACATATATTTCACCTGGAGCAAAAGAACAAGAGCAAAAGGACTCGAGAAATGGCTCAGATTTACCCATTATCAGCATGACAACTGCAACTTAATTTCACCTGGAACTTAATTTAATTCTCTCTCTCTAATGGGAATTGAACTGGCCACATAACTGGTTGCTTGTACTGGTACAAGCCATCCTAGTTAAGTAGCAAACAGAACAAAATATCCCAAGTACCAGCTCATAAGGTGCTAAAGTGCAGAAGTTCTCTAATGGAAACTTGATTCATCACAGCCACTCAAGAGTAGTACAAAACAGTCACAAGGCATAGTTAGGGAATGGGAGAGCAGCACGGCACGAGACTGGGATTTCATGCTAGCTGTTTTATCTCAAAAGTTATCAACATGTTGCTAAAAAACATTTAAGCTCTTGTTTAGCCAAAGCCCCTGCAGATTACAAGATGTCCTTCCTGACAAAATGCTTTACACTACTAGCCTACTAGTAAGAAAAGATCAAGGAAAAAAGAAACAAAAATATTGCTAACATAACATACATTCAAATCAATAGGAGGCTGCTGATGTGATTTCCCCAGATTCAAATCAAGGAAAAAAGAAAGAAAAATATTGCTAACATAACAAGGCATCCATGCATGCAAAAGTTTTAAAAGTAGCATAACCAAGATAGCATTCTAAATGTATATAGCACTTTTATTCTAGAGGTAGCATAATTCAGTTGCCAATTACGCTCCAAGGATTAGTATAATAGGAAATTATTTTGGATGTGCAAATGCAAATTAAACCACAAAGATTTTTTATATAAACCTAAAGCTGTTTCTATGTGTAAGTAGCTAGCCTTCCAGATTTTTCAATACAACCTTGAGAGACATATCATCAAGCAATTTACATCGCACTACATCTTACAGTCTCCATGCAGTGCGGATATTTGTGTCAATATAGATATAGCAATGTTGAGAATACAGCGTGTTGCGCGTGAATCCAATCTATGGGTACAGAAGTGCCAGTTATTAGTAAGAATACAGAACAGCTGTAACTAAGTTGACAAAAAGTGAGATTGTGTCTACAATGGATGCAAAGTAAAACAGATAGGATCAACCATGGCTACTAATTTCCTTTGTCTAGAGTCATATATGAAGTAGAAGCAAATGGATAGAACACTACATGCATTCGGAATTCCAGAATAGCACAAATTTGTTACTCAATAGCAGCTATCTGCCAACCAGTCAGAGGAACCACACACGCTGCATTACAGCTGAACTGAGAAACCAAGGCAGCTGAACTCCGGCCGGGGAAGAAGAAGGGGGAGGGGAGGGCCGCCGCCACCACCACCGCAGCCACCGGCCGGATCCGAGAGAGAGAGGGCCGGATCCAGTCGGGTGAAGAAGGGGGAGGGGAGGGGCACCTGCTGGGGAAGAAGAAGGGGAGGGAGGGGCGCCATGGGGAGAAGAAGGGGAGGGAGGGCCGCCACCACCACGCCCTGCCGCAGCCATTGGCTGGATCCGGGAGAGGGAGGGCCGGATCTGGCCGGGTGAAGAAGGGGGAGGGGAGGGGCACCAGCCGGGGAAGAAGAAGGGGGAGGGGAGGGGCGCCGGCGGGGGGAGAAGAAGGGGGAGGGCATGGATCTGCTCGGTCGTCGACAGCGGCAACAGATCCGGATGCGCTGCTCGGGTGAAGGGTGAAGAGGGAGATGGATCCGGTGTCAGGGGTGAAGGTGAGGGGCCGCGCCCGCCGCGTCGATGAAGAGGGAGAGGGAGGAGGGGAGGAGCGGTGGCACTGCTCGGGGAGGGGAGGAGCCCCTGACCGAAGTCGCCGAGGGGGCGCGATCTTTGAAAAAGGAGAGAGTGAGGGAGGGGGCATGGTCTACTGCGTGCGGGGTGTTTGGGGGCGTGGCGGCTGGTGGGTTAGGGTTTGGATTTTCCTGTGCGTGCACATTTTTTTCCGTGCGTTTTTAAAGAACCGACAGAATAAATTGTATTTTTCTGTGAGTTCTGATTTTTTCCATGTGTGTATTGTCACGCACAGAAAAATCATACAAATTTTCTGTGGGTTTTTGTATTTTTCTGTCGGGCTATTTTGGAACCAACAGAAAAATCATAATTTTTCTGTGCGTGTCGAGAAAACGCATGTGAAAAATTCATCACCCATGTAAAAAAAAGCGAGATTCCGTAGTGAGTGTGAGGCAAAGGCGGCAGCTTCACTTGGTCAGGTAATTGGAGGTCGCCAGAGCCCAGATCCGGCCACAGCCAGGGGCTAGCTGGCGCAGCTGGGGGCAGCCCTGGGAAAGCTAGCGCCAGCTAGGTGCGATTGCAACCCCCACCCCAACCTAAATGGCACGGCCATATCTAGCGAGTCAGTAGCTGGCGGCAGGTCGACGGTGGTCATGTTTGACCTGAATCGATATAAGCGACTGCAACAAAGAAAATACATACGTGACGAAAAAAATCGGAGAGAGAAGGAAACAACTTGCTATTGAACGTGGAAAGTTAGTTGGAGAAGAATTTCAGCAATTTCTTATCTGTTACTCGATGAGTGTCAAAACTGTCTCTGCTCGTGCCACTGACAATACACTAAATTGTTCTCCCGCAACACAGGGGCATATTTGCTAGTAAACACTAATGTCTAATGCATCCAATTATTACTACTTCTGTAATAATTAATAACTGATAAACATATATACTACTTTTCGGAGTGATGAATTCAGAAATAAATTAAATAATTCGTGTGTTTAATTTAACTGTGTGTGTAGAGGTGGGCGTTCTATAAGTTGGCCGAGAGCTACTACTCCATCCCAATGAAGAAGCACGGCATGGTGCCTGACCACAGCCTGTTCCAGGCGCTGGCTGCGGCCATCATCTGCGTCACGCCCAAGGACCACTACAAGAGGCTGGAAGAAGGCAGCATCATGCTCAAGAAGTACAAGACATTCAGCTTATGCAAGGAAGGCGTGCTCGTGGACGGCGAGCCGTCGCCGGTCAAGAGCGACGTGGTGATCTTCGGCACCGGGTTCAAGGGCGACGAGAAGATCAAGGACATGTTCACTTCAGAGTACTTCCGCAATGTCGCGATTGGGTCAGAATCCACTACTGTGCCTCTCTACAGGTATATTTGTATATATATGTTTCTCACCATTTGTCCTAATTTGAACTCTCGATCTTGGTCATCATTTATGAATCGTGCTAAATTTTCAAACATGCATGTTTCACAAACAGAGAGTGCATAAATCCTAAGATACCTCAGCTCGCCGTGATCGGATATTCTGACACCCATTCGAACATCTACGCCTCCGACATTCGCGCCAAGTGGTTGGCACGCTTCTTGGACGGCAGCTTCAGACTACCGAACGTCGCGGCAATGCAGAAGGATGTGCTCGAATGGGAGAAGTACATGAAGAGATACTGTGGAAGATACTTCCGCCGGTCCAGCATCATGATCCTGAACACTTGGTACAACGACCAGCTCTGCCGTGACATGGGGTGCAATCCTTGGAGGAAGAAAGGGTTCTTTTCGGAACTGTTTGAGGTCTATGGCCCTGGTGATTATGCTAACCTACTCTCCAACTCCAAGTCCAAGGAACACTAGAACTTGTGTCTAGATTCCTTTGGCACGTACGAATAACTTTATGCTCTCAGATATTCTTGTTACAGCGAATAGTGTTGTGAAATGTGTGATGACCATCTTTGCACTTATCTAAAAGATGTAAAGCGTTCATGGTATATAGAAAATTTGGATGTATGTTACTCCCTCGGTCCACAAAAGAATGCAAGTTTGTTATATCTCCAAGTGAAACTAGTTTAACCTTGACCGAGTTTATACTTTTTTGAGCAGAGACCGAGTTTATACTTGATAGGATTGCAACCGGCAGTGTTGAGTCGAGCAACACTACCGATTCAGTACTTGAGCTGGCAGTGCTATGTCAATCATCACTGCCAGTGTTTGGTGAACCAATAATGATCTCTTTTTTGCATTTTGTTATTTTATAATTTATTTTATAATTTTGTGTGGTACTCTATATTTGCTATGTATACTAGATTCACATAGATCACAAACCCATCAAGATTTATATTACAAATTTTACGGTTACATTGAAAAAGAATTTATCAAAGACGAAGACATTATCACAAATTTATCTAGATCCCTATTACAATAGTCTCTCGAGGTCCTCTTTACCATATGATACCTTGAACTTCTTGGGCCGTGCAATGAAGAATAGCCCCTTTTTACTCAATATCTCATCCAAGGTGAAGCCTGCTAACGCATCTTGGAATTCTCTGATCTCGGGGTCTAACAGCCGGCGATGGCCAAGTTTAGATTATTAATATTTATATCTCAAACTAAGTTTAGATTCCTTTGGCATGTATACGGATCACTTCATGCATGCTCTCAGATATTCTTGCTACGTACATATTCTTTCCTGCTGTTAGTGAGACTACAGATTTGTACATGGTCAGCGAATATAATGTGTCTACCGTCACATCGCACATTTGTGACGATGACCATCTTTACACTTATCTTTTTTTTTGAAACGGAAATGCAATTCCATTACTTGTGTCTGCACGCTCGGCAGCAACAATGTTCAAGATACAATCTGGAGGATGAGCCATGATACGGTCATCGTCCACCGAACACACACACCCAAGAGCAGCTAGATCATGTGCCACTCTATTACAAGAACGAGGGACAGCCCTTATTTTAAACTCCACACAGTTCAGACTCACAAGCTCTTTGATCTCCCTAATCAACCCTCCGGCCATGGAGAGGTCCCATCTCTGAGACTCCACTGCTTACTGAACTTGCACGGCATCAGTTTCTAGATGAACTCTGGATATGCCCAAGTCAATTGCCGCTTGTAGCGCTTGTAGACATGCCACTACTTCAGCTTGGAAGGGGTCCAAAATGTGGGAAAGTCGACCCGACCAGCCGAGACCATATCACCGTCTTCATCCCGGATTATGAACCCCCATCCGCCGTCCCCTGTCTCACTACGGGAAACAGTAGATTTGCCGAGTGTCAAGGGCACTCGGCAAAAGCCCAAAAACACTCGGCAAAAACTTTGCCGAGTGTTACACTCGGCATATAGCACACGGCATTGATTTGTCGGCAAACAGTAGTTTGCCGAGTGTTTTTCATCGGGCACTCGGCAAATAGTTTGCCGACTGTCAGTAAACACTCGGCAAAAATAAACTCTCGGCAAAAAAATTTGACGGGATGGAACGGCGACGTCAATTTTGCCGAGTGCACCACGGAAAACACTCGGCAAAGTTTTTTAAGTTTACCGAGTGTCAGAACGAAAACACTCGGCAAAGTTTTGCCAAGTTTGCCGAGTGTCAGAGCTAAAACACTCGGCAAAGTTTCCCAAGTTTGCCGAGTGTTAGAAATAAAACACTCGGCAAAGTTTCCCAAGTTTGCCGAGTGTAGAACCAAAACACTCGGCAAAGTTTCCAGGTTTGCCGAGTGTCAGAGCTAAAACACTCGGCAAATAAGCTTCCAACGGTCAATTTTATGGTCACTTTGCCGAGTGTCCACTGGAATACACTCGGCAAAGAAGGTTCCCAGAATGGCAAAAAATGGTCTCTTCGCCGAGTGTCCACTGGAATACGCTCGTCAAAGCGACCAAGGCCCTCCCTTTTTTAATAATCTGTCACATATCTCTCAATTCACAAAAAACCATGACAATTCACAATAAAACATCATCACAGGCATAATTATTTGTCACAGGTGTAATAAACCATCATCATAATTCACAATAAACCATCATCACATGTCACAATAAACCATCATCTCAATTTACAATAAGCCATCATCACAAGTCACAACTAAGTCACAATAAGACACAATGCAAATGCATCATCACTTGCGTGAGGCCCTTGGAACCTCTGCGACAAATCCGGGTCTTGAAACTGATTATTTGATGCCGCCGATTGATTCTGTACAAAAGAGAAGTATTCGAAACAGTGTTAGCTTCCTTTTTAACAGTGTTAGACTTCATATTGCAAAGTGAATTTCAGTATTGAAAGGTGTGCATCTACAGCATACTGTAATTGTAATCACAACATTCAACACTAATGCAATACTTAAATTCGCAGTGCTATGCACACAACAGGCTACTTGCATGTTAAAAATAAGGGAATTAGCAAGCATCCACATATCTATGTGCTGCTGGTTATCAACATTCAGATTCCAATGGTTATCAACATTCCATTTCGACCACAAAGCAATGGTTATCAACATTCAGATTCCAATGGCAGCACTTCAGGTGTTTTACATCACTAAGTTTCCCTATCAGCTGAATTCATTTTTGTCCATTTACTGTTTAGCTTTTGGTAATTTGCTCCTGTTGTAAGTTATGGCTTAATATTGATGAGTGTGTTCTTAGGAGCTCCAGTTCAAAATATTCAACAAGGAAATCAACTTCCATTCATTAATTCTTCTAATCCGGACATGTCACTGGTGAGTAGCTCCGCCTTCTTTTTTTTTCTTGTTTGGAGAACCAGTGCACCATTTTTTTTTATGTTCCTGTGTCCTCTAGGTTGAGTTTGATTATGAAATCATTATTCTAGCCACCATCCTTTCCCTAAACTAGTTCCCCAGGATTAGTTCACTCTAGACATGAATGTGTCAGCAGCAGCAATGAAGTCTAAGCTCTTTGCCGATCAAGAGGAACGTGAAGTTCAAAGACTAGCTGCTACTGTAATAAATCATCAGGTTAGTATGTGTTTCGCCATCTGATTTGCATGCACAGAGGATTTCAGCTGAACGAATCAGGATGAGGCCCTATTAGGTCCCACCGGAAGCGGTCTACCAGGGGCAGTAGCACCCTGCCATCAAATCCAGCAGGCATGAGCCCCAGACCAGTGCAGGGAGATGCAAAATACTTGCTCCAGTCAAAATAAATTTATATTTTGAACATGATCTTATTTCCTATGTATCCCTGAGTACTTTTTTTCATTGAAAGCAGTAAAGGAGCTTGCTGACAATTTGGACAGCTTATTCAACACATTCCTAAAAGTATGTCAAATATTTTATGGGAGATATCAAGGTGTCAAGTGACTTACAGGAGTAGTTGTGGGTGGCTGAGGTGAAGGGAATAGCATCGGTGGCGGTGGCAAAGGTTGACCCATACTCGATGCAAAATTCTGCATGTATTGGAACATTTGGTCCATCCTCAACCGACTTTCTTCGTCCATCCTCTGCCGCTCGGCCTCTAACCGCTCCACCCTCGCCTCCATCTCCTCCCGTTGCTTCTTTTCTGCTTCCACCTGGGCCTAAAATATTTCATCGCAATGTTACAATGTAAAGCAATGCAAAGCTAAAGTACGTAAGAACCAACGAATGATGAATGGAAGAGAAAGAACCTGGAGAGCCTCTATCTGGAACTCACGCAGTGGTCGGCCGGTGGGCGATCGCTGGGCTCGAGTCCGTGCTCCTTGCTCGATCCGGGAGAGAGTGGGAGTAGAGGCCGTGTCGATTACGCTGTCGCCAATCCAATACCGACCATGCTTCTTGCCTCCTCCCACCCTCATCACGATTTCTCCATCAATATCCACGAGAGCTCGGATCGAACTGCGTGGCCCGTGAACCTCCCTTGCCATCGTTGTATCTTTGGGTGACACGGGCTGTGGATGCTTGGATGGCTGTACGCCTCAAAGCGGGTCCTCCGGGTTGAAGTCGATGTCGGCCGTCGCCTTGCCCTTTTTGGACAGAACCCATGCCTTGAGCTGGGAGCAAGGCCCAGCCATCATGTGACGCACGACTATGGCAAAAATGCAAAATGATTAGAAATTATGCAGAATTGAGCGTTAGAATACGTAAATGAAGTTGCATACCCATTGTTCCCTATATTCATCAAGGCTCAGCTGCCTTGATGGTGTGATGCACTGCAGCATCCGCAAACGCCGCCCCGGCAAGCAAGGTGGTGCTCCAACCACCCGGGCTGCAACCACTCATCCACCATCTTTTCCCAAAGACCGGATATGCGCTCGGCACCACCACGGAGGCACCTACATCATCAAGCATGTGACTTATGAAAAAGAAATTAAGCGTAATTAATCTCAAATAAAGTAAGTATCAACGTTCTTTGCTTACACTCATGAATTGGTCCTTGGTCAGGTTCATTGTCCTTGCCTCTTCTTTTTTAACCTTCATGGTTCTGTATTGAGCGTAGAACTCGATGATGGCATGGACGCGCGCCTCGTAGTGCATGTCCTTCACGAGCTTCTTGGCGGCTTGTTCAGAGACGGACTTCGCCTTGGCCTCGAATCCCTCCTGGCATCTGTAGAAGTCCTGCTTATAGAGGCGATGTATAAAGTTATTATTTCAAGAATGTCCAGTGAAGGTGATGTATTGAGCAATGTAGTGCGAGGAATACTTACCCACAGCTCGCCCTTCACCCGCTCCGCTATGTTGGTGAATCTCCTGTGATCACGATCGGGGACGTCGGGGCGGCGGACGTAGTGGTCCCCGTGTAGGCCGGCTCCGCTGTCGGCGTGACACCACCAAGCCAGGAAGTGTTGCCTGCACAAAAGGCCAAGGATGCCGTTGACCTTGCGGTTGTGATCACCCCCACTGAGCTTAATCCAACT